CCAACAAACAAACAACTATCTATCAGGTTTCAGCATCATGTTTTCACAGAACAACCCTATAATTCACACTTCCACAAAATCACCATGTCTCGTTTCTTCTTTAATTTGCAGACTGGAAACTGTCCGGCACTCGAAAGATCTACTTTTGATATGGTAAACTGCAAATTTCCCAAAAGAACCCCTTCTTTTGCTTGTTGCAAGTTTAAAGCATCTAACTAGAGATTCACACATTTCCTAATAATTCTGCCTCTTGCAGAGCAAATGCCTGGAGGGCATCTACAAGGATCTGAATATCTACAGGGCAGAGCTGAATAACCTCAATGATCAAAAGGTGCTGGCAACTATTGATGAAATGATGAAAGTAAGTATTTCTCTCCTTGCTTTCTACTATTTCTGTCTTAAAGCAGAATTTTGAATCCAGTTTTCTCCATTCTGTAGAGAGTCAAATTGTGAGCTTTCTTCAATCTGGTAATCTTAAGAAAATAATTACTGTTTTTCCTAGAAGGGACTTGATATGAAACAGGATGTATGAATTTTGATAATTATTAGTGAGTAGAGGGAGAAGTTAAAAGCTTGTTTAACAAAAGCTAATTAAAAAAAAGAAAAATCATTTCCTTTGTATTGACACAGCATCTCCCGATAGCTTGGAGATTCTGGCCATGAGCAGAGGAGCCCAGTCTGATGGGTTGCAATACAAAGCTCCCTATAGGCTTATTATTAAAAAAAATCTTTATTCCTGGGCAGAAAGAGCCTTTGTGCATGAATGGACATTTTTGTCTTGAGCAAAGTACAGCTGCACATCTCAAGTCTATTAATTATATCATTAAGTATTTCGAATTTTATCTTAAGTCTATGAATTAGATAGTTCAGTATTTCAAATCTTATCCTATTAATTATGTCATTAAATATTTCAAGTTTTATCCTATTAATTATATCATTAAACATTTCAAATTTTTCATCTATGAGAATACATTCTTCTTTCTAAGTCCTGCCATTTATCACTCAGAGGGTGAAAAACTAAAAGAGGTTTTTGTTCTAGCCACTTTCTGGTGATTGATAGTTTTGAGCAGGGCCTGTTGTGACAGGACAAGGAGGATGGTTTTAGACTAAAAGAAGGAGATTTAGACTAGAGAGAAGGAAGAAATGTTTGACACTGAGAGACCCTGGCCCAGGTTGCCCAGAGAGGTGGTCGCTGCCCCATCCCTGGAACCATTCAAGGTGAGGTTGGCCGGGGCTCTGAGCAACCTGCTCTAGCTGGGGATGTCCCTGCTCACTGCAGGAGGTGGGGACTATATGACCTTGAAAGGTCCCTTCCCACCCAAACCACTCCAGATTCTGTGTTAACACCCCGTCTTCTCAGGTGCTGAGGACCAGCAGCTGGAGCACGCCACAGCTGTCAGCAGGCACAGGGTTGACCTCCTTCCAGGAGAAGATGAGGCTCTGCAGCATCCTTCATGCCTTCCAAATCCGCACAGTCACCATCAACAGGATGATGAACTACCTGAACTCTCCAGAGAGCTCCCTGTGAGCACCAGGCCCTCCAACACTCAAGGATGCTTTGGAGAAAAAGCATCATAGGGTCAATGCCCCACGAGGTGTTTAGGGCCTTTTAAGGAATCCAGTGCATAATATTTCACAGTTTCTTCTAAATCAAGTTTTACCCAGCTGTTGTCAGTGCCTTTCAAGCTACCATGCTAAACTTCTAGATTTCTAGAAAATAAGCTACAGCATAGTACCAAAAATGTTCTCAAACCACTAAACACTCAACTGTAATTTGTCCTCATCAATTTATTTATTTTGTTGTAATTTTCAGAAACAGAAATATATTTATCATAATCTATTTATGAAAATATCCCTTTTTTATTCTATTTATTGCCTAATAAAGTTTGCATAAAGAATGTCGTGAATTTTGTCTTCCTTGAGATATAACATGAGTCAATATGATATCATATTAATCATACTTTTAAAATACTTTGAATATTGCTGGCTTGTAAACCACAGTAACATTCAGCACTGCTATAATACTTTACAATCCTGTTTCCATCTTGTTACGTACATCAGACTCACACGTTTCTTGTGATTTCTTGCTCAGACTAAGCACCCAAAGCAACTCTCTCAGTTTTGCAGTTGGTTACAGTCTCCAGGGTGAAATCCTGGTCCCACCAAAACCAATGTCTGTTCCAGCAAGGCAGTTTTGCAGAACTTTGAAGGCCAGGAGGGATGCTGGGATGAGTCTTTTCCCAGTTCCTGCCTGCAACACATAAGCCAAACCAGATGGTGTCCACTCGGAAGGTCTGCCCTTGGCCAAGCCATGACTTTGGCCACTTCCCAGCCAGCTCCCTCCAATGCCCATCACCCCAACAGCACCTTGTTCTTCTGCTGTCTCCATGTGTTTGGCTACTCCAAGATCTGCCCTTTGGGGTCCCCCAGGAAGCCCCTTTTGATGCCAAGGGGCTAGTGGGACCCCCAGCTCTTCCAGATGCCAAGGGCACAGCTGCCATCCTCATCCTTCCCCCTTCTCCCCCAGTGCCGACATAACCTGCACACCACACCAGCCCTTAAAATATAATCTTCTAAACTCCCACCACTTGAACCCACAGACCATCCCCAGAGTAGAGCAAGTTGTAAGGTAAGAGCAACCCCATGCCTCAGTGCTGTGATACAACTGTCATGTTTTCTCTCCTTCTGCCTGCAAGAACTGGACAAAGCCAAACTGAAGACCACAGAAATACAATATACATTTTTTTTTTTTTTAAAAAAAAGCTTCTTGATAGGGATTTAAGGAATCTGAAGATTGAAGGCCTCAACATCTCTTTTCACCACCTGCTACACTATCCAGTTACCCTCGTTAGTACAAATAAGAACCTTATTTTCAGCTTAGATTTACTGATTTCTGCTTCTGATCAGAGGGTCATACCAGAGCTTTATGCGGTATCTTAAAGGTCCCCCTGATGGCAACTTCCCCCATTTTGTCCCAGAGAGAAGAACCCAGGACATATCTGCCTGAGGCCAGAGAGCCCCACACAACCTCCCTACCTCCCACAGCTTTTTCTTCCCCCCTAAGCACCCCATCAGCAGAAGGTCCTGGGCACCAACAGAGCCCTTTTCCTCAGCTACCCCCTGGGATCAAGGCTTGGAAAGATGGCCCACAACATCAGACAAACTTGCAATGTTTCATCCAACAGCTAAAATTAAAAACAAAAAGAATCAAAAATCATACATAAATAGTGTAAATATCTCCTTTTTAATCCTTTTATTTTTTAAAAAAAAGTATGCGTTTTATTTCATAAAGATCTGCAGAAGATCAAAAGAATCCCGTGTCTTTAAAAACAATATTGTCCCATATCAGGTCTCTGGTCTCTTCTGCAAATACCATTCCTTCTGGATGAGCTGTTGCAGAGATTTGGGCTTCTCCCATTTTAGTTGTAAGCACCTGATTCTATTCAAGTCAAAATCAACCACGTTAAAAAAACAAAGGTATTAAAAGTTTATAATACAAAAAAAAAAAAACTATGTAAAACATTATCTCATAAAAATTAAGACAGACCATACATAGAAGAGCAAAGAAGAAATTCCCAGAGAAAATTCCAAGCTTCCTGGAGTTAATAGTGGTGCTCCCATGAAACTTGTGTTCAGGTTTTTAGAAAACTGAACCACAGCTTAACAAGGACTGATTGTACATGAATATATACAGTGATTATGTATATATACAGTGATTAGGCAAAGGGATTGACCCGCAAATTTAGGATTATTCTTCCCCTATCCTGGGCACCTTTGAGAAACATGATGGATCTCATGATTTTGGCAGTTCAATATTTTTTTTTTTAAGGGGATTAAAGTTTCCTCATAATTTTCCTCCCTTTCTTTCCCTGATATAAATAAAAACATTTCCAGATAACCATCATATACCTGAACAAAGTAAAGTGGTTTCTTCCAGTGTTCATGTCTTTTAGGCCTGGCTCAGACCAGACAGAGCTGGGTGGTGGGTTCCCTGTAGGCAAAGCCCGGCGCTGAGCCCAGGATCCACCACCCGAGTCAGGGCTCCTCAGAGCCTTAGGTGTGCCACCAGCCACACCCAACTTCCTTCACATGTCTCATCTAAACGTCCTGCTGAGCGATGATGCCTTGCACCTTCCCTCCCGAAGCTCGGCGAGATCCCGGGGAAGCGGCCAGAGGGGTGGAATGACTGGCTGGGGATGCTCCCACCTCCCTTCTTCTACTGCAGCTTCAGCAGCTCAGCACCGAGCTGAGAAACCTGAGGAAAGGGACGTGCACAAACACACATGGATCATCTGATCTCTGCAAGTTACTGAAAGTTCAAGCTGAATAATTAATGCATTGAAAACCTAGGAGCCAGCACAAGGCCATGGCACAGACAGGTGGTGAAGGTGACATGAGGGAGGGAGCACGAGCAGCTCTCCACCCTTTGCAGCCAAGTTGTTTTTAAGGGAGAATAAAGAAAGAACAAAGTTCTGCCCCTTCTAGGAAAAAAACACCATTTTTGAGACAGGTTCCCCTTGGCTGATTGAGTTCTCAGCTCACTGAATAACTCCGCTTGGCAGGAGGTGAACAGAGCATAAGGAGTCCCACAGAAATGAGTAGGAGCACCCATGGGTAGCAAGGAAATACATGCACACACCCATGGGTCTGAAGGATCAACCTGCTAAGTCAGTCATCAGGGAAAGGTGTTAATTAACTGTTCCTAAAATACATAAAAGGAAAGACACATCTCATCTTATGACTTGCAGAGAAGACCAAGAATTGGCTTGGGTCTATGACACTGACTCATTTGGCCATGACAACCAGGTCATAATGAGAATACTTTCAACAATATCAGTGCAAAAATATTATTCACTTTCTGAAGGGAAGTAGAAAAATCACAGAATCATTGAATCATAACACTGAAAAGACTTTAAGACCATCACGTCCAATTGTTGCACTGGAAACTCATTGTTGAAGTCAGAAGTGAGAAAATCTTGGCCTACGTAGTACAACATGCACTAGGTATCTGGTAAACTCTCTGAGGAGAAGCCTGGACGTCCATGTGAAGCACGCTGATGTGACTAAAGCAACACAAGGGGAAGGTGATACCTTGTAGGACCTGCAGGATCTCGTAGGACGCTTTTTCACGGAGACATCTGTGCAAAGCTTCTGCAGTCCCATTGCCTTGTTCTCTGTCTCTCCACTTGGCTAACACCAGAAATTTTTGCATGTTAACCTCATCCTCCACGGCCTGAATCTGCTCAATGTCTTTCATCTCCATCTGAAGACACTCAATGGCGATTTCTCTCCACCTCTTACCAAACAACCTTGCGATCACAATCAGCTGTTGGTCCGTTAAGTGTTTTGTCTCGTTTCCATCTGAAAAGGCCCAGAACAAAAAATCAGATTTAACACTGCTCGTCTCATTAAACTTACAACTAAATTACCCTGTGAACCTCCCAGCCAGCTCAGGTGTCTTGAAAGCTACAGGCACCCCAGAAGGGTGATGTTTATTTTGCCTTTAATGATGCTGGTTTCACTCCAAGCTGTTACATGGACTGAGACACCTTCGTTCTCCATGTCACCAGTGATACATAAAACTGAGGTTTTGAGGGATGGAAGCTCAATGGTGCCCACCTGCACCCATAAACAAACACCTACTTTTGCTGATTTTTTTCCCCATTATTTATTGAACTAACATTATTACTTCTGTATTTCTTCCAAGCAGCTATAAATGAGCAGTTTCTGGGTGGGAGCTCTCAGACACCAGGTCACTCTGACCATCAAGACATCACATGTCAACAACAAATGGGAGTTGATTTTTTTATAAATTTTATTTTATTTTTCAGAAAAACAGGGGAGATATCCCAAAGATGAAATCTGAGAAACATAGCAGAAACCTCTTTCAAAAACAGCCACTATCACCCAGTCTTAGAAGACAATACTATTTTAGCTGATCCTTATATAGCAGATTTCCCAGCTGCTTCTCCCCAGCTACTTCCTGAATGGGTAACAGTGTACCAGAGCACTACAAATGTCGGTACAAATTCCACACCTATGAAAGCAGCACCTTCTCCTCCTATATGTCACGCTCAGATCTGTGGAAATCTTTAAAAAACTTGAATTTGCATTCAATTCACAGGATACAAAAAAAACAAACCAACCCCAAACCTGCTATTTAAGTGACAACATACCTGCAATATTGCTGGGCTTTTCCTTTTTGTTATGGGGCTCATCTTCTTCCAGAATGTTGAAGTCTGGTTTCCTTTTTTTGGTGCCTAAAAAAAACAAGTGAGAGGTGATGTTGCTTCTTTTGAACAGCTTGCTAAGATAAGGAGCTTACCTTCATGTGGACTTACTGCCTGTGCACCTCGTCTGCTTGCTTCTGTTCTGTTCATAATGTATCCAGTCACCTGTCAAACAGTTTTCAGAGGAAACAAAAAAGTGAGGGAGGAATTCCCATTGCCATGCCCTACATCCAACAATTCTCCAGCACAACCCCAAGCTGTTGGGTGGATTCCAGCTGCTTGAGCTAAGATTTTATTGACTGAGATGATTTTTTCCCGTTTATCCAACGTGCTTCAGCACATCATCCAGAACATGCAATTGAGATTGTGTATTTTTCCCAGCAAGTAAAATGAAAGCAGTGCATCCTCCCACACCCCCCATGGTCCCAAAGCCACTATGTGGCCTCATGGAGCTCTTTTCTTTGTGTTTTTATCACTTCCGGCTCCAAACCTCATGATTTTAACAGCAGTAATTTAGGGCTGAATGCTACCCAAACTCCTGCATCTTTTCAGCAGGTGGGAAGACCAAAGACTCACTCTCTCTTAGCTTTGCTTTCCACACGGTTGCATCAGACTCCAGCTCAACCAAAGACAAGGTGAAGTCATCAGGTTTCTCCAAATAGACTTCAATGTAACTTTTTAGTTTCAAGAGAGATCCATCAACAAATTCAATTTCCTACACAAGGTAAATACATTAAAGATAAATATTTATCCATAATAGAAACTAAAGACCAGGTGTTTGGCTGCTGGCATAAATTTGAGTTCAACTCCAGTCTCCACAGAGTTCTGCTGTTGATGCTGGCATCAGGATTTCATCCCAAAATTTTAGGGCTCTAAAAGGCAAATGCTTCCTGCAGCAACAGCAAATGACTGTGAAAAATGTCCTTAATGCCAAAGCAGGAACACAAAGGAAAAGCCATCAAGGTATCATAAAATATAAGGTTGGAAGAAACCTCAAGGATCATCTGCTCCAACCTTTCTTGGCAAAGGCACAAAGCACAGTCTAGGTAAGATGAACCCTGTCCAGCTGATTCTTAAAAGCATCCAAACTTTTGTACCACATCAGTAATGAAGTTGTACAGCACAAAACAAGGGATGTGTAAGAGACTTACCTCTGGAGTAATTTCAGCTTCTGGCTCACAAACCAATCTATACCTCTTCCCTTTCTGAAGCAATTTTTGGCATACAGGGGGCTTGTCAATTTTAACAAATTTCTTATTTGAATGTTTTACAGCTCTTGAGATATCCTAAAATTCAAAGATACAATATAAAGGTTACTCAGCTCAGTAAAGGAATTAACATTTAACATCTGTGCTGATGTGGCCCTTTGGGCTTTTCTCTGCCCCCAGCTCTATGACATGGCCACAACCTGCTCCATACTGCAAGCTTCACAGACTGGTAGGGGTTGGAAGTGACCTCTGCAGATCACCTCACCCAGCCCCCCTGCTCCAGCAGGTCACCCACAGCAGGGTGCCGAGGATCACATCCAAGCAGGTTTGGAATCTCTCCAGAGAAGGAGACTCCACAACATTTCTGATCAGCCTGGCCTTCTTCTCTGGGAGAAAATTATTATTGTGATTACAATTGTATTTTAGACCTGTAAAGCTATCCTGTAGTTTATTGAACTTATCCCCTGCAATCTTAAAGAATCTGTACATGTTGGATGTGAATAAACCATGCTATTTGCAAACCCAACTACACCTTCTGAATGCAACCAGACCTACAGCAACAGGCTCTTTGTGCATCTGGCATTGGACCTACAGCCACAGTCATGACTGTTACAACTATTCAGAGATAAATTCAGCCACCCCAGCCCCTCCGATTTCCAAGGATTGGTTAGAACACAAGGGGATTTATCCCAAGATCCCTCCCAAGAGCTGGGCACCACTGAAAAAGGTCTGGCCCCACCCTTTGGATCCACAGGCTTTAGATATCGATAAGCATTGATAAGATATATCCTAATAGATCATATAAATTATCTATATGTATTTACTGCACGTGAACGCCGAGAGAAGAGCATCCCTCCAACACACCCCATCCTCCCTGTAGCACCCCCATAACCAACCCCACCCTACACCCCCAAAACGAGCCGCACCTTTATAAAGGAGTCATTGTTTGTCGCCACGTAGACCCGAAAGGACAAGGAGGGATGTTGGTCGACGACTTTGTAGAGGATGACGGCGCCGTGGTACTGCACAGGCTCGGGGCTCTGGATGAGCGGCCCCACGGGGGACAGGGAGCTCACCAACCACCTCACGTGCGACGCCGAGTAGTCGGCGGAGGGCTCGAGGGCTGCGCCCTCCCCTTTGACGTGCAGAACCTTGAAGGCCATGCCAGCGGCATGATCTGCGGGGACACGGGGCTGCCTGAGCACCTCCTCCCGTGGCAGGAGGCCGGGAGCCCCCCCAGCCCGGCACTCACCGCCCAGGCAGAGCGAGTGGGGGAGCTGGAGGGAGGTGAGAGCCGAGGGCGAGCTGCAGTGCACGTCGAAGAGGGGGCCGCCCACGATCCAGGGCTTCTCCACCAGGCTGGCGTATTTGCTCCAGGACAAGAGGGAATACGTGATTTTGACGGCTCCTGTTACCTCAAAAATCAAGCCTGTGAGGCTGCACTGGTACGTCCCCTCTCCATCCAGCTGCAACCTGCCATGGGCAAGAGAGACCCAGTGAGTTTAGTTTCCACCGCTCAGTAAATACAGTAACAACGTGGTTTGCAAGGGTAACAGAGAAACTCCCTTCCCAAGCAGCACACAGCACTTTATCTGAATAGCACAGAAGCCACAACTGTTTTTTCTCCAGTGTCTGGGTTTAAACTGTCCTTGAGTGTTAAAACCTGGCCAGGAGGACCCAGCCAGTGCACACAAAATAACTGTGATGAATATTTTGCATAATATTTCCTGCAAACAAAGCAGCTGCTCTTACACTAAGGGCTCAACCCAGCTTCCATCCAGGTCAGAGCCAACTGACAACACCAGCATCACCCACTGATGACAACTTCCAAGACAGAGAGAGGCAGCACAAGGCTGGCATCCAAAGAAAAAAATGCCAAGTTGGTGCACCTGGGGAGGATGAGCATTCCTGTGAAGCAGGGCAAGACCCCTCATGTGTGCCCCTACTAAAATAAGCAAGTAAAAATATGCCTGATGTTAATTACTGCAAGATGAGGCAGGCAGGAAGCCATCCTAAGAGTTTTCTTGGACCAGGATCTGGAGGCAACACAGGCAACTGCTTTAAATATTTTATTTTGAAAGATTTGGGCAGATCTTCTGGTATAACTCCAAATGTATTTGGGTAGCAAATTAGTCTTTTTCCCACTTAAACCAAAGAAAGAAGTATCTTGATGAGAACAATGGAAACGTCTACCCATTATATTAAAAAAATCCATACACATGTTGTCCTCCAGCAAGTCTCCTAGGGGTCACTTGCTCCTTCTGGTCCTATAAACAGATTAAAATATATATATATATGTCAAAAGTGTGATAGAGAGAATTACAATTTACGAAGTATCTTATGCAAAATTGTTGTTGGTTTGTTTTTTTTTTTTTGTGAACGTACGTTTTCATTCCTGCAGTGCTCACAGGATGGCAGACAGTTCACTCCTAGTGAGAAAACAGGAAGATCAGCATGTTAAAAGAAGAATTAATCACTCAGGGAAAAAAAAAAAAAAAAAACAACCACCAAACACAGCCCTCAAGAGATCAGTTCCTACCTGATTCATTGTAGCATGGCACTGATTCCTTCTCCTCCTGCTCTTCAGCTGCAAAAGAGAAACTTGCAGCAGCTACTTCAACCTCCAGCAGATTTCTGTTCCCATATTCAGCAAGGGCAACCCACTGAACTAATTAAACCCACCCGTTTAATTTGCTTACGTCCATAAAAACCCATGGAGAACGTTCCTAGGACAAAGTTCTGCACACAGACTTTGCGGGATGAAGCTGACCGCTGGGACACGACCTTTGTCAAGAGCTCAAAACTTGTCCAAACTCCTGGAAATTTTCATGGGGGTTAAAAAAGAAAAAAGATTGATGCCCAGAATGAGTCTAATTGTGCCAAGCACAACGTTGAACTAGCCGGCGTGGATGGTGGCCCAGCAAGCAGGTCACCACATTAATGGCAGTGTATTTATCCCTCAAATGATTTAAAAGTGGCCAAATCCTCCTTACTAACCCCAGGCACGACAGCATGCAAGGAGCTGACACAGTGGGCAAAACCTCACAGCCCAGAGGGTGGATTTTGGAGCAGTGTATCCATCCCTTGTCCCTGCTGGCTTCCTCACACCTTGCAAGGGAGATAATAAGAGCACACTCACCCGACCTTCTTCCGTCTGACTCCTCTGCATCTGATGAAGAAAAGCTTTGTAATTAGCTAATTGTAGAGATTATCAGTGATGCCTGAAAGCCAAATAAACTGCTGGTGGTGTAACCCATGTAAGTGCAAACCCGCAAGTTTTCCAGCAACAACAAAAACTTCCTTTAATTCTTTTCCTGTCCATCCTGTTTTGTCGCTTTTGCTGCCAACTTTGAAGCAGATTTATGGCCTCTTGGTGCTTGGACAACTCCTGTAGTATTAAAACATTTGTGTGTATTGTGTCTACAAGGCTAAAGTTTCTCTTCTATTATTGCTCTGCTCAAAACCCAGCAGCTCAGAAATCATGGGCTCACAAAAATATCATTCTGCTTCTCGTGCAGGCACTGATTCACAGCCTTATACAATAACCCTGAGACTATTCCCGTGAAAAGCAGCTGGTTTAAACTGAAGATACGTTTTTGAAAGGGAGAAAACATGTAAATCACAAGGTGATGCTCACCTGATTCCTCTTCTGAGCTACTGCTGGAGCTGGTTTCAGAACTGTCCTCCCCTTAATGAAATTAAACCCCATTAGTCAAAGGCAGAATGAAACAAAGCAGTGCTGCGGTTGAGGAAAAGGGCACTCAACAAGTTCAGATGCATCAGGTTGCTCAGCAACTTAGATAACATAACAGAGGAGGAAAAATATTGAGGCACCTGTAGGCAGAGAGGAGCATCAGAACATCAAACCCCAGCACCAGGGGAGACTTTGGGGTGCCCCAGGCCCTTCTAAAGGTGTTCAAGATGCTGGATTTTAATGTTTGATCAAAACTGGGATGAAACCTTCACCCATGGCACATCCCAGCTCACCCAGTTAAATCATAGTTTCCCGTGGCATGCCTGTGAGGTGGGAACCAACGAGTCCCATCAGTGACATGACTCACAGGGACATGCCACAAGCAGCTTTAATGAATTATTCCACCAAATTAAGTTGAAGAGAAACCAATATTGCAAAGCAAGTGACTTGAGGAGTCACAGTCGTGCCCGAAAGGTGGTTTTATCCCATTGTGGGGAAGTGGTGGGTGTGAGGCCAGCCATGGAAAGCCCTCAGCCTCATGGGTGCTTACCTGCTGGGTGCTCCTTGGCTGAGCCCTCTTCATCTGTGCCACCATTCACCACCTCTGCAAGGGAAAAGCAGTCAGGGGATAGAAGCTTGGAAAAGACTTAACACAACTCTTGGTGGTTTTGTACCATGCATGTCAGAGGAAGGGAATAAACAGAAAATGAATAGGAATTTTAAAAGCCAGTTAAAAAAAATAATCTAAATTCTTATCCATTAAGCTAAGACATTACGCTGTGCTTTTTAAAGCCAACAGTTATAAAATTGTCATTTCCATTCTGAGGGCTGGGCATTTCTCACGACAAACACAGATTTCACCAAATGACCGTACCTTTTTCATCTGAAGAGAGGGACTCAGTTCTGCTGGAAGACAAAGTGGGAAATGCGTGAGCAGATCTGTCTCCACACACTGGGCATTCCCCCTCCCTGCCAACTGGGTTGGGGGCTACAGGGTAGCTTAGAACGGGGGGTGGTGATTAAAAATTAATTGCCTCTCCCATCACCCGTGGCCCCTTGCCAGCCGGGGTGCCTGGCTCTGCAGCACGTTTCCCACAGGCACAAGCCCTTGGCCCCAGCACCTTTTGCAAAGCACCCTGGGGTTATGTGCCAAGGGCCCGTTGGTTTTGGTGACAGCCCAACTAATCTTCTCAGCAGCACACAAAGCACAGATGAAGACGGGGACTCGGATGTTGCAGATGACTCCAACAGACCCCCGCACCCATTTGTGGCCTGTTGCAAATACAGACCAACCTCCCGTCTTCATTTGCTCTCAGAAAGCATAAATGTGCTGGTTAATCATTTACGGCTCAAGATCAGGTCCAGAAACCTTCCGGTGGAGCGCCACCAAGCTCCACAGCCTCCTCCCTGCAGCCCCAATGAGTAACTGTCATCAGAGCTGCTGCTGGGGAAGGGATCTGCAGCAGTTCCCACAAACCAGCAGGTGACATCCAGCTCTCTTTGACTTTAGTGGCACGAGAACCTACCTCAGTCCCTTTGTCCAGCCAGTGGCCAGCTAGAAGGACAACCATATGCCACGTGGGCATGGAAAGAGCATCTATCCCCTCGCTCGTGGGAGGTGGGGAGGGATTCCAGCACTGCCCTGGTGATGCCAGTGATGGCAAAGCCCAGGAGGCTGATTTAGACCTTCCTAGGCTGGCATCATGCACCCACACCTCATCCACAGCAGGCCCCAGCACCTTGGGTTGCAACCAGCAGCAGATGGGTGCTGCTTGGGTGAACAGGCATCAGCCCAGGGGGTCAGAGCCCTCACCACACCGAGGCAGCTCAGACAACAAATTAAACAATAAAAAATAAATAGGTGGTAGGGGTAGAGGCAGGAAAATACACCCCCAACCTATACCTGAGGCAGGAAGTGAAGTGATGCAAGCAAGGGGGGGGTCCTGGGTGAAGCAGGGCGGGATGTGGGGGTGGACAGGGGTACTCCAACACAGCCTGCAGCTCTAAAAGTTTGTCTGTCAAGGACAGAGAAAACATTGCTGTGGCCAGTTAGACACGCAGGAGAAACTGGGTAAGGGTTTCCCCAGGGGCACAAAGGGGAAATTAAACTGGCCAGGGTTTGCGCTTCTAAAATGCATCTAAAAAAAAAAAAAAATAAATGAGGACACAGCTTCTGCAAGCTTTGGACAAAGCCTGAACATCCCCCAGAGAATGGAGCCGCAGCCAAGTGCTGCTTGTGCAACTCCTCCACCAAGCGCTGGCTTGCTAAGTGAGGTTGGGCTGCAGCAACCCCCTTGCACCCTCCCTCCCCCTGAGCTGCATTTCCCTCCTCTTAAGCCAAAAACAGAGAAGCGGGGAAGGAAAAACAAACCAAAACAATAAACCTTGACTATTCAGTGTCAGAAATTCCTGCCCACCGT